CAGGGAGGGGGACTAGGGGTGTACCTGACCCACGGGGCGTCCCTTGGACCTAACACAGACCCCGGCATGCAGCAAGGGCTTGCTGCACCAGACCCAGAAGCTGGGGACACTGGGGGTGGGGGAAGTGCAGTTAAGCAATGGAAGACAGAGATGCCGGATGTTAGGGTACTCAGTTAGCCACGACTTTCCCCAGGGCTGGAGAGTTCGGTGAGTTTCCAGAGTGAAACTGTCTGAAATGTGTTTTGTGGTAAGTGGTAGAAAACCATCACAAACACAATTGAAGTGGGCTTTAATTGGTTTAAGCAACTGGGAAACCGGGGAGCAGAGCTGGCCCCAGGGAGCGGCAGACAATCAAACCTTCACTACATTTTCCCTCTCTCTCTCTCTCCCCTACCTTCCCCTCCCCTCCCCTCTCCACTCTGCGCACTCGGGCCTCACACTTCCCTGTGGCATTTAGACTTCTTCGGATCCATACAGCCTGTAAGCTGTAAGCCACATGAGTACGGACGGGAAGAGAGGGGATTGGCCATAGACGGCTCTAAACTTTCAGAACCCAGCCCAGGGACAAAAAGAGACTTTTGTCATCCCAGCCTGGTGTCTGTTCATGAACTCCCAGGGAAAGACTCCGACTGGCCATGCTTTAGGCACACGTCCTCCTGTCTGGCCGGGAGAGTAACACCTCTGATCCCCAAGCCAGGCTGGAGGACAGCGTAATTTGAGGCTATCCCAGAGTCACTCCAAGCATGGAAGGGGACAGTCTGCAAAAGATTTCAGGACACAGCCTTCCTCCTCTCTCTCGTGCCGTCTCCGCCCTGAGCCAACCCTGAAAAGCAGCAAGGAGAGCATCAGAGAACATTGTCTGGGGGACCGTGGGGATCCAGGGGGCCCGACACCATGCCCAAGGCCACAAATGCACTAAGCACCTCCCACCGAACTTGGAATAAAGTCTAAATTCCCCACGCCCACCTGCAAGGCCTGTTGGAGGGCCCAGCCCCCACGGGTGTCCTGCACTATTTCCAAGGATGGCCTCCCCACATTGCTTGTGTCCCTGCTCAAATGCCACCTTCCCAAGCAACCCTACTGAGAAAACTCTCTCATCCCACATCACGCCTTATGTGTTTAACACGCATCCCCATTGGAAAGTCTCCCGGTTTATTTGCTTACCAACCTGGAAGTTTCCTGAGGTTGGAACGAGTCCCATCTTGCCCCGATGGGTCCCCAGGGCCTGCTGGCCAGAGCCCAGCACAGAGAAGAGACTCAGCAACTGTGTTGGTTGAATGAATGAGTGAATGAATGAGTGAGTGAATGAATGAGTGAATGAATGACTGCTCAAAGCTGTAGCCTGCCTTAGGTGTCAGCCAGTGGAGGACAGGGGAAGTCTGCCAAGTGCCCCCAGATAAGAAAACAGATGACTGCATTAATCTGATGGAACAGAATAGTGAAGACATCACCTACCGCCCCTCCCCACCCAGTGCTCTAGTTTTCCTTCAAAACCTCCCGTCCAGCCGTCTATTGGCAGAGCCCAGGGCAGCGGGTCCTCCCCGGACAGCAAAGTCCTCTCCACATTGCAAGACCAGCGGGATGGGCGAGCAGGTCGCAGGTGATGACCCCACGTGAGCTGAGTCGGTACCTGGGACTTAAGTCACCAGCGAGACACCTGAGTTCTCCAAGCAAGCGCATCACTAAGCAGACTCCTCCCGGAGCACGGGGACTTCACCGCAGGGGCTTGGTGGGAAAGCCCCGGCCACGGTCACTCTCGACTCTGGCAGCCGCCCGAGGAGGACTCTTGGGCAATCTACCACCTTAACTTGCAAAGACCATGCGCGTCAGCCACACCTGGGAATCACAGCTGGTGCTTTCCCCTGGCATTCAGACAGATTTTTCACGCAGGGCTTGGGCTTTTCTCACAGCCTAAGAGTTGGCACAAGAGAAGCTGGAAAGGAAGGGGCAGGACAGAGGGAAAGAGGGAAACAAAATGTACCTTCAGCCTGGGGGCGGGGAAAGGGGGGAACCCCGTAATCAGGCCCAACGGTGAACCAGCCCGTGGGGAGCTGGGGGCAGTGGGAGGCCTCCAGCTTTGTTCTTCCTCAATAAAGCCCCATGGAATGATGTTAATTGTGACTTTAGGTATGTGGGGTGTAGAGGATCTGTAAGGTAGGAGAAGAGCCCTTTGGCTGTGACTGGGGCTAACATAATTGGGGTTTAAAGTCTAGAACTTTTGAGTTCCTTAAACTCTGTGAAGCCATCAAATACCTTCCCAGCAAATTGGCACTTGCATCTCCTTGTGGTGCAGTGGGGGTGATGATCACCCGTGCTGTGAGAGAGGCACACCAGCGGGCGGGGACGCTGGCTACACAAAGCATTCTTTGGTTAAAAAAAAAAAATCGTGCAATATAAAAGAAAACTGTTTAAGCTTAAAAATTGAAAAGAAGCAGTTGGCTCCAGTTGTTGGGATGTTTTATGAAGCAACAGCAAGATGAAAAAAAATAAAAAATAAACTATCCCAGAATGCTGAGAGAGGGCCAAAAATACTAATATGCAGGAACATGGCAAACCTTCTGCAAGATGTCAATATTTCCTTTGTCCCCCACGTACAGTCAGCAAGTATGGCAGTCCCTTTCCTCTCTCCGCTCTTCCCATGGGACCTCTACGCCAGATAACACTTTTTCCAGAAGAATAAAACTCAAGTACTAGGTAGAGAAACAGTGTCTGTCAGAGGTCCGTGAATGTCTTATTTCAAATATCATAGGGAGGGAGGCTTCCAACCCCAGAACCGGGAGAGGAGTTTATATAAAGGGAGGAGTTTCTATAAAACAAGTTAAAGCCCAACCACCAGAAATAAAAAATACACAGGATCTCCTATATGCAAATGTACAGCACTCCAGGCCAGGCCAGCAGCCATCCACAGCCCCTTCTTCAAAACTGACATCCTCAAGAAGCGAGCCCCAGTTCTGCTCAAAGCCCCGTTTTCATCTCCCCATGCTGCCCCCCAAACCCTCTGTGTCTCGGGCTGAGACAACCTGCTCCTCAAGCGACACACTCCATGTCTTGTGAGTGCCACAGCTCTGGCACCCCATGGAGCCCTTTATGTTTGCTCCCCCCTCCCCTCCCCGGCCTCCTAAGATCCCTACAAGTTCATCTGACAGATGAGGACACGGGCTCAGAGACGTTAGCCAACTTGCCCGAGGTCACCCAGTTGGGACACAGCAGAGACAAGTCTTGAGGCCACATCCAGTCCCAAAGCCTGTGTTTTCAACCTCAAGATGCTCCCCATCTCTCCTCCTGACCCCATCCCCCAGGTGTCCCCCGTAGGTATCTCTGAGGGGAGTTTGCAGGACTGGCAACTCTCACTCATCCTTCCATGCCTTTCCCCTTGGGCCTCCTTCCTGCTGTCACCTCTGCGGCACGCATCTCTCCCTGACCTGAGTGTGTATGTGCCTTTGCCCACTTGCTTCCTTGTCTGTCTTCCCTCCGGAGACATCGGCCCCTCCCCCGGGGGGGGACAATGACTTAGCAGGGTCTCGTCCCCTCCGAGATCCCCAGGTACATCAGAGGCTCTCAGCAAACATTTGGAATGAATGAATTCTCCGTGCCCAGCACATAGAGACAGTGGGTAAATGAATTTATTCTTAATTAATTATTTTAACAGAATCATCTTGGAAGCTTCCCAAGGGGGGAAGCGGACTTTGGCACTCCTACATGAGGGACCCTCCTCTCCCTGACCACCCACTATTCACATTACTTTCCAGGTCACTGACCCCCTGTTGGAAGAATGGCAGCCTCACAGAAAAGGCCAGAAAGAAAACCTCAGGCCCACCTGGACATGTGTCCACCTTGTGCCAAACCGGCCGGTCCACCAGCTTGCTTCGGCCATGGGCATAGCGTGTTCCTCACTCATGAATCAACCCATCCACTCTCCTCCCAGGCCCTCCCTGTCCCCTCACTATTTTGGCTGAGTGGGCAAAAAGGATCACCCCAATTTGGGGCCTCTACCCAGCACCTCCAACAACCAAGAAAAGCACCACATGCCTTGAGTGTGGGGAGCATTGTTATACAAAAATACTCCGTCCAAACAGCCCCATAAAGGCACAAATCTGTTGACGAGGGAGGAAGGAGGTCAGGGAGAGGAAGGTCGTGAGACGTGCCAGGGAGAATCACGGACATCTGTGCCCTCTCCTAGTGGCCGCGGTAATTCTCAGGGAGCGAACCCACAGGTCAGCAGAAGCATGCTGCCTCTGGTCGCTCAGTCCCAGGAGGCTCTGGGCACCAGCGGATCCCGTGCTTGCCCCCTTCCCCATGATGTCTGTCCGCTCACTGACATTAGACCCATTTTCCAGTTCTAGACCTATGACAACGTGCACTGGTGGAAGCCTTTGGGTCAATAAGTCAGTCAACAAACGATTGAGCACCCCAATTTTGAGGGGTTGGTGTTGATGGGCAGGAAGGGGAGTGTGGCTGTGCGGTGGGCGGGCGGTCTTATCTGAGTTTCACCGGGGGATTGTTCTAAAGAGTGAATGCCGACAGACATGCATGCGTTCTCCCCAAGCCACGGACAGGGGTACTCAGAACGGCACCGCGGTGGCCAAAAACTGGGGCCGCGAACAGTCTGCGGCAGGATGGAGTCCTCCTTGGGAGTGGAACCGAACGGTGATCATTTCCTAATCTAGGCGGGGGTCGCAGGGGTGTGTTCCTGCGACAGAATGCATGAAGCTTGGTACCCTTCCGATCGGTACACTTGTCCGTGTGCATACGTGCCTCCCATGTAGGCCTAAATTTTAAAGGGACCGGGGTGTTAGGTGTTGAGGTTTCCCCAGGGCTTCCCGCGCAGAAGGGGGGCTTCTGCCCCCCGGACCAGCCAGGTGGGCAGGGAGGAGGGCGAGGGGCTCAGAGGCTCAGAGGCTGGCAGCAGGCCCCGCCCCGCGCCAGGTGCAGCGGCAGCCTCCGCCTCCGCGTCCCGCGTTGCTGGGCAACCGGTCTCCCTGGCGACGAGAGACGCTGAGCCCCGGCCTGGTGCGTGCTGCTGGCTCCCGGAGCCCCAGCCCCCATGGCGCAGAAACCTCTCAGCACCGCTGCGGCCGAGCGCATGAACCTCGTGGCCCAGGACGAGATCTGGTAAATGCCCAGGTGGGCTGGGCCGTTCCCACCTCAAGGGCACATACCTGACGGCTTCAGGTTCCCCTCAGAGTCCTGGAGGTGGTCGACCTCCGAGCGCGGAGGACAGTGCACTGGAGGTGGTCAGGGCGATGTTAGGGACGTGAGCGCGACCAGAAAGCCTTTCTCCCTCTTCTCTCAGGCGCACAGCTAAAGATGAAAGATAACTGCATCTGGCTTTACAACCATCTGCAAAGCTTTGCTTGTTGAGAGCCGACTAAAATGTTATTTTTAAGATTTACCGAATTTTTTTTATAAAAAGGAAAACAAAAATCTTAATATTTGTTCAATTTGAATGAGAGATAAATAAGCCTTTTACATTCTCTTGATTCTCCTGCTTTTTAAACTGGTAAGAAATTTTAACTTAAAAAATCCTTTTTCTAAAAGGCTTATATTGAGCAGACATTTGTAATGGATGTTTTTATTTGATATTCTATTGAATTGCTAAATATACCATTTCTTTGAAGTTTTAACCAATATGGGAGGTTACTAATTTGGATGCAAGTAAGTAAAGTTTAGTAGCAGTAAAGCAGACCTGCATAATTCTTAAACTTGAGTTCTCTTGTTTGCCATCTATCTGATTTTTGCCATTTCCTTGTAAAACCTGTGTTAACCTCTTCATATATTTCTTTAAACTGGCTTTGTTTCACTCAAATTTATTTTTATAGGAAACTTTGTGTCACACTTGTCGACGGAAAGCCAGTATCGTTTGGCATAAAATATACAACTATTAATCTTTTTAATCTTTGTCTTTATCCAAGTACCTCCTACTTGGATATGTACAAAATCACCATAGCAGGTATGTTCTGTCAGTGTAAAATGCCCCTTCCTCCCTTCTCCACCAGATGAACTCTTATGCATCCTTCAAGACCCAAATAAGATGGCCCATCCCCTGTGAAGAGAGCTGGTTCAACCTTTAGACTATTTTTCGGTCCAATGTCCAAAGTGGCTATTGAGTCCTTAAAATGTTACTGGTCCAAATCGGAATGAGCTGCAAATGTGAAATACACAGCAGATTTCAAAGATTTCACACCCCCAAAAAGTAATAGTAAAAATGAACTTCATCTACTTACCTTCATTTTTTTTTTTTGAAGTGTGGCTGCTAGAAAGTTGTTAATTATGTACAAAGCTGGTGTTTGCACTCACATTACACCTCCATTAGACTAGACTCTGGTGTAGACGCTCAGTGCCCAGGGCAAAAAGCTCATTGAGGGACCTCCAAAACTTTGAGACACGGGGAGATGGGGGTGGGGGGCAGATACTGATTTCCAAAATGGGAAAAGAAACTTGACAATCAATGAGTGAATATTAAATTAGACGTTTGCAAAATGCAACACACCAGCTCTCAACTAGCAGGTCATTATATAAAAATAATATTGAATGTGGAGCAAAAGCAGGGCCAGGATTAGGGCGGGTCAAGTGGGGTCCCCTAGTGGGCAATATTTAAGGAGGGCTCATTCTCAAGGTCATGCAAGTGCCTGCTCTGCGCTTGCAGGACCCTGGGAGGGTGCACCCCCTTAAATTTTGCACCCCAGAAACCTCACTCCCCCTGCCTCACTCACTTCACCAAAATGAGGAGTCTTGTCCCTAGATGGCCCCTCAGGCAGACCCAGCCCCCAGTCCCATCTTCTCCCCAGTGTGCCACCCAACCAGGACCTTCTTTTGACACCTGTCTCCCTCAAGGGGCTCTTGCTCCCTCTGGCACCCAACTCCCTTCCTGGTGCAGAGTCACCATTCAATCAATGGGCATTAAAAATATGTAAAATGTTCCCCAGGGGACTGTAGGGTTTGCTACTTTGACCTTTTTCAAATACCGTCCAGCACTTACGAACTTTGTTTTTCAGGAAATACCGCCTGAAGTCTGAAACTGAAGCACGACAAAACTGGGCCCAGAACTGGGGATTTTTAACAACCCCTCTCAAGGAGGTAAATATAAATTTGATAAGCCCAGAGGTTATTGAATTGATTATTTCAAGGAATAAATGGTAAGGAGGCATAGACTTCCCAAGAATAAAGTTAGTGTTGCATACGAAGACCGCTAACTGAAACCTACAGGCTCCGTCCTTTCCCTAATTTATTGAGCACCTACTACATGCCAGGCGTCCTCCAGGTACTTCATCGGAACCAGCTCATTTAATCTGCACAATGACCCTGGCACAGAGGAGGGGGCTGTTTTACGCTCGTTTTGTAGATTGGGAAATTGAGCTCAGAGAGTCGCAAAGTCATGTAACTAACAAAGGGAGACACCAAAAGGAGAAGCTGGTCTGTCTGATTCCAGGGCCACTTGGCCTTGGGCTGCCCCATCTGTAAGAGGGATGAGAGTCCTCAGCTGCCTCCCTGGGCGATAGGTAAGTCCAGATGGGATGAGAAGTAGAAGCCAGGTGGATGTATGAGGGATTACTGGGAAGATGTTCTTGGTATTTTCCTAAGCCCGCTGGGTAACAAGAGCAGGAAAAAGACCAGGTGAAATGAATAGGGAGCCGTAGGGATGTCCACAAAGATGTCCAGCCCCATGCAGGGGGAGCCCCTATCAGCCTAGCCGAGGGCCAGGGGGAGCCCCCATCAGCCCAGCCCAGGGCTGAGCTTGCAGAGAGGATAAGTCCATATTCCCATTGTTCAAAAAGTCCAGAAATCCCCATGTTTAAATGAAATCTGAGTCTAGAACAGTGGCTCAGTTGTACAAAACACCATGCAGTTACCAAATGCCCATATGGGCTTCAGTGGGACGGCGGCCACCAGACTACAACCTTTCAAACCACCTCCAGGACATGACACCCAGAAGGCACATTTCCTTGGAGGGATGCAGAACCACATAAGACTTGCATAATTCAAAACGTTCACGATTCAAGGCAGCATAACCCCATTTGTAATTCAACCCCATCCCCCCATCTTTGAAATTATGCCATTCTTAATGAGGTTTTTTTAATACTTACAGAGTTATACAACTTGAAATGTTATGCATAAAATGAGTCCTTATTAATACAAAATGCATAAAAAGAGTCTATATTAATATTCCTTATATGTAATTAAATTGGGATTTCAAAGAGTTTGAAATTGCTTTAAAAATTTAAAGGGGGGGGTGGGAGCTCTCCTCTAATATTTTAAAGATTGGCCCTAAAACCTTGTTGGCAATTATCTATTTGAGTCCATAACCTGTGAAATTTTCTCCAATTATGACTCAGGAGCGTAAATTAGCAGGTTGCCAAAGGTGGTAGAGGACACAGCGGTGGGTGGCTGTATCGGGAGCCTGAGCGAACCCACCAGCCGGTCCCCGCTCGGCCCCTTTCTTCCTGTGGGGTTGCACCAAGCTACTGAACGTTTCTCAGCGCGGCTTAGGTCACCCGCAAAGTGCCGCGTTCTAGGGGGTGATGCAGAGAAGGCCCCCACTAACCTCAGTCTGACGCGGCCCGTCTCTGGGGTTATGTTGCAGCTGCTCGAGGGTGAAGAAGAACCCCCCTCCCCAAAGCCCAAAATCGAGCTTCCCGAGCGGTTCCGCATCCGGCCCGTGACCCCGGTGGAGAAATACATCAAGGTTCGCAAAGTCATTTTGAATCCTTGTTTTCCTAAGTAAGAAAGAAGGGTGTTCGCTCCAGGGGCACAAAGCCAACCGCCGAAGGTGAGAACAGAGTGGCAGCCGGCCGGGGGGAGGCCAGTTTCCACAGCCTTTCCGAGCCCTTCGGCGGGGAGCCCATCGGGTCACCGGTCTCAACACAGGCAGGAGTCACGGCCTTCAGCTCTGCAGAAGCGGAAGGAAGCCAGGAGAATGACGGGGTCGGGCCAGTCGTTCAGCAGATATTAACAGGGGCTGGGCTCTGGGCTCACACTGTTCGGACCCAAATCCTGCTTGGTGGCTCACCTTCCATGTGGTCTTGCACGTGACTCAACGGCCCCATGTCCCCTTTGCCCATGTACAGTGGGGGTTCACGAAAGCACCTACCTCGGCAGGCGGTGTCAGGGCTCTGTGGGATAGTGCGTGTGAAGGATCTGGAACCATCTCTGGCACTTTTAGAAGTGACAGGGACAGCTGTCAGCAGGCGCCAGGGACTCGGTGGGATAAACAGTGGCAAACAAGAAGACGAGACTCCAGCCACAAGTCTGGGTTGGGGGCGGGGAGGTGGGAGGAGAGGCCACCATGATACAGAAAATTCAACGAAATTGGGGTTTTCTTTTAAGATCTCACTTATTTATTTTAGCGAGAGAGCATGTGCACGTGCACAAGAGAGAGAGCATGAGTGGGGGAGTCAGAGGGAGAGGGAGAAGCAGACTCCTTGCTGAGCAGGGGGCCAGACATGGGGCTCAATCCCAGGACCCCAGGATCAGGATCCTGAACTGAAGACAGATGCTTCACCGACTGAGCCACCCAGGACCCCCCCCCAACAACAATATTGTCATTTGCTATGTTAGATGCCATGGAGGTGAGAGACAGGTGAGGTTTTGGAGGGCAGCAGGGGAAGGGCTGGTGCCCACGGAGCTGAGGACTGAAGGATGATAAGCATCCAGCCCTGGAAAGGCTTTCCAGCCGACGAGAAGAGCACGTACAAAGACCCTGAGGCAGAACAAAGCTTGGTATATTTCAGGGCAGCAAGGGATGCCATGAGGCTGGAGCTCAGTGAGCCGGGGGTGGGTCAGAGTGGGAAGGGAAGGGAGGCGGATGGAGACACGGGCAGGGCCAAATCCCACTGGACCTTGGGGCCTGAGGAAGGAGTTGAGCCTAGTCTGCAATGGGAAATCAGTGCTGCGACATGGTGAGGACTGCCTTTCTGAAAGATCCCTGTGATTGCCGAGTGAGTGACCGGCAATCCCATAGGGGAGAAGACTTGATGGTCTTCCCACCTCTGACCAGTCAGCCATGGACATGGGTCAGATGCCTCTAGAAACTGCTGAGCTGGGTACATCCCGGGCCTCCCTTCATGGGCCCGTGATTTTGGTCCTGGATTCTGCCCTCTGACAGGCTACAGACAAAGCAGTTCTGTGTCCTGATGGGAAGAAGGGATGAAACTCACACAAAAGGTGGCCGGGGTTGGGAGGAGGTAGGGTCTATGAATTTTCTTTTCTTGATGCATTCAGGGTCTGACAGAGCGGCTGGCACACGTGAGTGCTCTGTGGAGAGTGCTTAGTGCTGAGTGCTCAGTGGAGAGTTCTCAGTGCAGAGTGCTCAGTGGAGAGTGCTCGGTGGTGAGTGCTTGGTGGAGAGTGCTCAGTGGGATTTCTTGCTGATGAGTGCTCAGTGGAGAGGGCTCAATGGTGAGTGCTCAGTGGAGAGTGATCGGTGGAGAGTGCTCGGTGGAGAGTGCTCAATGGTGAGTGCTCGGTGATGAGTGCTCAATGGTGAGTGCTCCGTGGAGAGTGCTCGGTGGAGAGTGCTCAGCAGGTGCACGTCTGATGGCCAAATGAACCACTATGCTCCACTGAGATACGCTGAGAATGTCTCCCCCTCGACTATCCAGCAGTACAGATTTGCTGATATTTTAGAAATACAGCAAAATAATAAATTAAAATAATATATGCCCTGACTGTGGTTAGCATCTTAGGGAGCTCCTTCTGGATGTCTCACAATGCCTCTATCTAATGCCCACAAAAAATGCTGGCTCTCATTACCGGGTCGTGGTTGCTCACTGTACTAAGTACTTTACGTGGTCATCTCATTTTCACCGCGACCCTAGAAGTAGACGTAATCACCACCAAACCCCCTTTGTCCCAGGAAAACTGAAGCAGAGGGCCTCGGGGACAAGGACCTCGGTCCAGGTACTGAATGTCCTTCCTTGCTGAAGAAAAGGTCCCCTTCTTCCTCCTCATCCCTTCTTTGGGTGGCTAGAGCCTTTAAAATCGATCTGTTTTAACAGATGTCCTCTACCCCAAAAGGCATGTTCTGAAAAGCGCCCCTGCCCCCAGACTCTCGGTTTCCCACTCCCCCTTCCAGAGACCGGATAGGCAGGGGCCAGCGTGTTGTGTGGCTCTTTCGCCTTCTTTCCGTTCCTGCACTAATTATACCATATTTTGTGTATTTTCTGCACCTTTTTTCTCTTAGCGGTTTCTGTTCAACACCTCCTGTCTCAGAACACACTGACCTGCCCCGCGTGTTAGACTCAGATACGAGGCTGTCTTAGCACGAGTGCTGGGAGTTCCATTTCAGGTCGAAGGATGTTTGCATTTTCATTTTTGGTAGAGAATTGCTCTAGTCGCCCTTCACCGACAACGAACCAGCCTGGTCTCCCACAAGGCCCTGGTCAACAGCGTGTTTTCATCTCTCTGCTAACCCGGTGCATGAAACGGGCATCCCAGGGCGGTTTTCCCCCGCATCTCCCTTACGGGCTCGAGGCAGACTTGGAAGCGAGTCTGTGTCCCAAGGGCCCGTCTGGACAGGCAGGGAAGCACCGGCCCCTCCCGCATTTGTGGGTGACCTTCCCTGAATGTGGCCTCTCGGGAGATTAATTTTAGCGGTTCATCGAGAACATATGTTTGGGGGCTTTGTGTGCCAGTGGCCAGGACGCGCCCCCCACCCCGCGCCGCCGCTGCCTCGCGCGCGGACCCCTTGCGCTGAGGTTGCGCTCATCATCCCAAGTATCCGAAGCCGCTCCGTCTCGGTTCTCCTGTTCGAACAAATATTCCCCCGGGGCCTTCATTCGGACTGCCCTGTGAGAGCAGAACCGAGAACTCGTTTCGAACAGAAGGGGAGAAACAGCCCGAACATTTGCCCTTATTTTCCAAGTATTTCAAGTCTGTCCAAGGAATTGACAAATGCAACTGTGTTTCTTTCATCTCAGGCAGAACCTCGTTCCCCTTTGGATTTTAATTAAATTCCGATGCTTTTCATTCCGTGGTCCCTACAGTTTGGGGCGCGCGCGGGCGTGCGCGCCCGCGTACCCTGGAGCCTTCCGAGCCGAACTGGCCGAGTCCGAAGGTCAGGATCCCATCAGACGATCTTGCTCTGGGTGTTACAGAGGGCGGTGTGGACTGTAGTGTTCCGTGTTTCTACACCTCACTTTTTTCCCCCTTTCTACTCTTCTGTCAAATGAAAATTGTGTCACTGGAGGTCGTGAGTGGACGTGTTAAGCGTGACCAGATAAAGAAACAACACTCGGCGTTTGTGACTTTTCGGGGAGAAGGGAGTCTCGGGATCCAGCTGATGCGAGTGTGCTTGCCTCGGGCGCCCCTTCCTTCGGGATATGTTCTTTCCTGTCTTTTCCCCATCAGGCCTCCCACGCTGATCCGGAGGCCTCGTGGACAGCCCTCATGTCACCTTGGCCGCGGGTGGCTAAACCCCCCACCTTTCCATTCCAGGTCCTTCCATCCCCCCCAGTCCCGAAGACGACCCAGGGCTTCATCGGCTGGAGATCCGGGGTGCGGGGCCTGAACAAGTGTCTAGAGCATGATTATGAGATCAGAAGCTGCAAGGGGGCGTATGCCAGAGAGCTAGGCTGGCCCAAACAAGGCATCCACTGAGTCCAGACGGACGGCGGCCCCTGGGCAAGAGCAGGTCGACCACCAGGCACGCACTGTCCGCACCCAGGAGGAGGGGCGCCCCCCTGGGGTCCCTCTGCAGATGGAGTTCCCCTCCTCACTTGCTCAGCGGATGTTGCAAAGAACAGGAAATAACCCTTCAACCCTCTCTTCCAGAACATTCTCGTCACGCACTCATTCTTGGCTTATATAACGAATAAGGCAAAATGAATGCTCTGATTTTTTTTTTTTATATATACTCTGGGAATTCTAAGTATGGTTTTTCAAAAGAACAACGTGATTTAATTTTAAAAACAAAATTTTGTCTAGGGCTGTTACTGCTTTTGATCCTATACCTCTCACCACCTGTTTGTAACAAGATTGTTGATGGGGTCTCCGCACCCAGATGGTCCTGGACCTGCTTTTCAGGAGGAACAGAGCACTCGGTTGATGCCTCGATCCTCCTTTCCCAGGATATTTGCAGTAAGCCAACAGCTTTAAAGGCAGAAATGAGCCCAAGATTTGCCACTGAGTATAGATTTCCTGGAAAGGTTGGGTCTCCCAGGCTCCTTTAAAACCTACCCATGCCCCCTTACCTGTCCTGGCCACATTGTCACAGCACAGATGGCCACCAAGCTGGCCAGCCCGGCCCTCTTCCTTCCACCGTAGACATTTAACATTAACCTGGAGGCTTTGATCCAGGTGCTACAAATGAGGGACGGACACAGGGGTGGAAACGGAGGCATCCATTGGTGAGAGGGCCAGGAGGAAAAGCCCACATAGCTACAGGCCCCTCCCCCCAGACCCCAAGGAGCAAGAAAGGAGAGCATTTGGTAGAAGCTTCTGGAAGCTGGTTTGTGTAGGTTTCTGAGTAGCAGAGCTCAATGCCTTCTTCAGAGCTGGAGTGGGCACAGGGTGGGTTCCTCCCTCTGTACTTGACTGGGCCCAGGGGCACTTCTGTGGGGTGCAGTCTGCCCACGCAGCCCATCCACCCAAACTTCTCCTGTCGACTTTCCTATCCCGGTGTGGACGGACGTGCTTTACTAATCCAAGAATCCCTCATCTAGAACCTTCCCCCGACCTCGAGCACTGGCCTCTCTAGCAGGCTTCTAGATGGATTCCGTGACATTGAGGGCACCAGAGAGCAGGGAGACCGAAGTCCTGCTGAATCTGGGCTATCCCCTGCTAGAGGGGCTCAGAGCCTCTAAGTCCTAGAAGCCCCCAGCCGAAGAGCCTCTCGTGTTCAGAGACGTTGTTCTCTGTAAATCTCTGGAATGTGATTGCAGTGAGCAGCCTTCTTGCTCCACGGTGCTGGCTGTAGACCCCTTCCAAGCCAGCTACTCGGGTACTAAGAACAGAGCCACCACAGCAAGACTTACCCCCAGCCACCTAGTCGGCTCTCTGACCCCCCACAGCCCTCCCCCAGCCCAGGTTTCCCCCTGGAAAAGCCAGAAGGCAAGAGAAGCAGCCCCTTCAGGAAGCCTTGTTATCCCCTCGGAGAGGGGTGCCCACACCAAGCCCCTGCCATGGGGGCCCCCACAGCCCCCCAGAAGTCCCACAGTCACCATGACTCACATCCTGCCTGCCACCCCAGACCACACGTTTGGAGGAGAAATGTCAGAGCCCTTTAAGTGTTGAGAAAAAGAGAAGCAAGGTGTTACAGGTGCAGCTGTGCCCCCCCATGCCCCCTTAAAAAGATGTCAAAATCCTAACCTCTTGAACCTGTGAATGTGACCCGTAATAGAAAACAGCGTCATTGCAGACGTAATTAGTTGAATGGAGAGCAGTCATCCTGGAGGAGGGTAGGCATTTAATCCGATGGGATGGGTGTCCTCGTAGCAAGAGGAGAAGGACGTGTGAAGGATGGACAGGCAGGGGAGGAGGCCGCACGGTGACGGGGCAGAAGCCGGAGCAACGTGTCTGCAACCCAAGGAAGGCCAAGGATTGCCAGCAAACCATGAGAAGCCGGGAAGAGACGAGGAAGGGCTCTATGCTCCAGGTGCCAGAGGAGCACAGTCCTGCTGACCGTGACACTGGACTTTCAGCCTCTTCTGTTCCTCTAGGGCCCCCTGGGGTGGGGGAGGGGTCCTTCAGGGTGCAGGCCAAGAGATGAGAACAGGACGGGGCACAGGGTGCCACCCCCTCTCCTGCCCAGAAAACACCCTCCTCCGAGCGCGTGTGTCTCACTGGTCTTGACCCGGGCCTGTCTCCGTGAGAACAGATGGCACGGCCCATGCAACTCCCAGGATGTTTCCAATCACCCTGGTGTAGACTAAACACGCGATGCGTGGCCAAGCCCATTCCTTTGCAGACCTCATGTTTTGGCATCTTGGTGATCCCTGCAAGCGAGGTCTCTGCTCTTGAAGAAACCCGGGGGGTTATTGGGATCAGATGCCACCACTGGCTGAGCGCAGCAGCCGGGAAGGACGACGGTGGGGCGCCGATCATTCGAGCCCACCAGGATCGCGGCTCCGTCTAACCGCCAGGCGTGGGGCGGCGGATACCTGCGGGCTGGGATGGGCTGCTGGGGGCAGGTGCTACTCTTTGTTCTAATTCCAATTCCTCCTCATAAAACGAATCTGAGAGCCATCTTCCATTGCGTGCACGCCCGTAACGGTTTGGCAGCAAAAAAGACGGGCTCCCTTGACCTGTCTGGACTCCTGCAGGCATCCTGACCAAGCCGGGACAGGGATTCAACACGCCCTGTTCGACTCCTCTGAAACTTGCCGGTGTGACTTTAATTCTGATTTTAACTGACCAGTCTATGTGGACCGGCAGCCTGACTTTAGCGAGACGGGTCAGTGGCTACTGTCGACACAGATGCCCTGGGCGGGGCTGAGCAGACCACCCCGCCACGAGGACAAGCCTCCAGAAAGACCACAAGCCAGGGCTGGAAAGATTTTCGAGGCTGTCATGCCTCTCACGTCCGCTGGGTACTGCTGGAGGCGATGGGTACTTCCAGAGTCGGGCCACGTCTGCTCCACTCCGGTTTCTCGAGAGAAGAAACATCTGAGAGATCAGCCCTCGTGCACAGTGGCTGGGAACGCACACTGATCCAGCCGCTGTGGAAAACAGTGTGGAGGTGCCTCAAAAATTTCAAAACAGAACTGCCATATGACCCAGCGAGCCTGCGTCTGGCTCTATAGACCAAGGAAACAAAATCTCCATCTCGAAGAGCTCTCTGCTCCCCCATGTCGATTGTAGCATTAATTATGAGAGCCGAGATCTAGAAATATGCTAAGTGGTCATCAGGAGATGAACAGATAAAGAAGATGCGAGGTGTGTTCGCATGTGCCACTCGTGACAGCATGGACAGACCTTGAGGGCATCACGCTAAGTGGTGGAGGCAGACAGAGAAAGACGAACACTAGCATCTCCCTTCTCTGGACTCTAAAGGAACCACACTCGCTGAAACCGAACAGACTGGTGGTGGTCTGGGAGAGAAGGGGTGAAGGGAGTCAAAACGTATAAACTTCCCGTTATAAAATAAATACATTACAGGGATGGCAGGTACAGCACGGGGGCGATAAGTTCTAAAAATTTCTTTTAAAAGAGTGGGAGAGACTCCAAGTCTGAAGGCGCACATAGCCTTTGGACAATGAGAACACAAAGACATTTACGTTTCTAGGAAACTATTTGGTGCTTTTTGCTACTCCTTAATTTAAATGTAGCTTTACTGCAGGTTTGTGGACACGCGTTCAATCCCCTTAAATGACCCATACTTAACTTGTGTCCAAGTACAAATTCTTTTTCACCCTTTTCACGTGTCAATATGCAGGTTTTATGAGCTAACCAACAGCTTAAAAACCTCAGTTGGTGGGTTTTTCTCTGCCTCTAATAATTTATCTACCAAGTAACCACACGTGTGTTTTATTTTAAAAGTAAAAAGGAGGCCACATTTCAGTGGACATCGGACTCCACTGCCCCGACCCTCCTCATGCCCACCGCGCCCCCCTGGCCTCTGTCTGCTCAAAGCTGTCGGGACTGCCCCTGGGGCTCATCACACGGGGCTGCTCTCGGGGCTCATTGAATAGCCCAGACGTCCAGTCAACAGCCCCAGCTGAGAATCTAAGTGGACGACACTCCACTATTCAATTACCCTGGACGGTTTCAAACTTGACATTTAATCTATGGAAATCAACCCTTTGTGGGTGCCCAAACGGGTTCATAAATGTCACCACACACTGTAAAATACCACAACATTTCCAAGGTCGAGGCGAGGCTGGTGAACTTGTGTCCACAATGCTGGAATCCATCACAGCCATGAATGTCCAGATGGGCCCCGGTCTAACTGAGTGGCGTCTGAAACGATGCAAAGCATAATTGGATTGGGGCCTCCGAATGGGTTCTGTCACAAGCGTCTTTCCGTCCAAGACAAATTGGAAACTCCAGCGTTTGAGTTACAAGAGAATTGCATGATCGAATGAAACAGGACTATGAGAAAGCATGGCTCCTCTCACTGCACGTTCAAGTACCCCGAGCATCATGGTCCCAGTGGGCACAAGGCGTCCAGCGTCCGAAGCCTGGGACCACACATGTTCAAGAATTTAGGACTTCATGGATTTCAGATAGTGCATATACTCCCTGGCAAGGCCTGGGGCAGCCACACAAAATTAAATCCATTAATATTTTGTAGCCACACTTAAGAATATTCACATGGAGGGGCTCCCGTGTGGCTTAGGCGGTTAAGCGTCCAACTCTTGGTTTTCGGCTCTGGTCATGCTCTCGGGGGTCCTGGGATGGAACCCCGCGTCGGCCTCCACGCTCATCGAGGGAGTCTGCTTGTCCCTCTCCCTCTGCCCCTCCCCATGCTCTATCTCTAAAGTACATAAATAAATAAAAATTAAAATTTAAAAAAAGGATATTCACATGGAATCAAGACCCTAAGGAGCTCTTTCTCAGTTAGGGTCCGGTTTTTGCCAGCAAATCAGCTTTGCTATCAAACTGCCACTAATGTTTCTTGTTTGGGGAGTGTTTTGGAGTTCGGGATTGATAAGAGAGTTTGGACTTAAAAGGCTGTCAACACTCCCCAGGTTAGGTCAAAAGGGCTGTGACT